GAAAGTGCAACCCGGGCCTGCTGATGATTCTCAATAGAAGGTAAAAAGCTCTTTAGACGATTACAATGAAAAACCCATTTGGCTGTGACCCAAGAGACCTCTCTCCATGCCACCAACTAAAATACCCCCACAGGCAGACATAAGATGACACCAGTGAACTGCGAGAGCAGTACAAACATTATATATAAGAGGAAAAACAACGAGGGATTCAAGAAGATATAAATAGCCCAAAAGTACATACAATACTGTAGATATACATAATATCGTCCAACTCCGTCCTTAAGCCACTAACACCTCATCTTGTGTGAAAGAGTGTGTAGTTAGCAATTCTAATTAGTTGATTTAAATCAGTTAAGGGACCCTTACCTAACTGCCGCTAGTACCACCGACAGCATGGATGGGAACACAGACTATTTCCAGTTCAGGGGCTTCGGGCGGCTCAACCACCCATGGAGATTTGGCTAATTATCTTCCTGCTAACTGTAGGCTATAGCGCTCTCTGTCCATCTCATTCAACAAAGGCTCACAATGAGCAGGTGGAATAACTGTCAAGATATTGAAGTGGTAGGAAATGCATTAAAATTTAGATACTTTCTTGAATTGCTGCCATTTAACACACACACTAACAATTAACACTCAGTCAACGTAAGAATGTGTTCATAGGAAGAAAGCCAAATTGCCCGGATTATAAAATTGTAATTAAAATCACTATGAATACCAGCCAATATCTATACTGCTTTTACCACCATAGTAAGAGTTTATTTCAAATATCATATATCTCAATTTAAAGACTCAAACCCTGCCTCAACTTTGGGGCTAATTTAAATTGTAGCAAATTTTGTTTCACCTCTAAAAAAACGTTATTGAGAACCTGGATAAACTGTTTTTTTTCTTCTAAAACCTGTCTTCTTGTTTGACTGTTTTTGTTTTTCCTTCTCTATTAGATTTATCTGTAGTGTTGGAGCTGTACTTCCAAAAATCTGCAATTATCCACACATTTGGATAGTTATCAGCCTATTAAATGGCTATTATCAGTTGTTATCCCTTCAAATGCATCTTGTTAGATAGGACAAACTGCACCTACCCTCACTTTTATGAAAAGTAAAATAATTGCAGTTTTAAACGTGGTAACATTGTGGATTGGAAAATAAACAGTGTGGTAAGGTTTAGGAAAAGATCAAGGTTTGGGTAAGTAGAAAGGTATATTTTAAAGTGTGTTCCGTTTGTGTCCCATGTGATAACAAACTCAACCTGTCTCCTTGCTGAAAGTAATGTTTTTTTTACCAATCCATCCCAACTTCCTTTCAAAGCAGACGTTGTCTCTACTTATGTCTTTCATTTTTTGTAAAGCACTTTGAATTGCCTTGTGTTGAAAGGTGCTATATAAATAAACTTGCCTTGCCTTATACAGTACATCACTCAATTTCCTTCTTTACTCCCATCATATTTAGTAAAGTCCCTAGAGGTCGCTGTCAACATTTTTTAAACTTCTTTATAGTCGACAGCTTACCAATAACGTGGTGCAGTGACGAGTCCTAAAACTCGGAAGTGGGTTATTCCCTCGTCTCAGAGTCAATGGGATTTCTCCACAGGATTTTGGAAAATAGCTGGAAATAAGGTCTGTGGTTGACACAAATTTAAGAGACGGATCACGTTTTGTTCCACAACATTAAATACATCAGCAGTGACCCCACTGGCGATTTTTGAAGAGTTTACGTGTCTGAAAAACGATGGTTGTTAACAAGTGGCTGAATAGGACTGCAGAAGTTGTCGAGGACGTTGTACGTCATTACGCCAAACACGTAAACACTCCCGCTAAGTTTGTTTGCCCCTGTTTTGCTTGCGAACTGTTAAAATAAACGCTTCAACTTGTACACTTTTGAGTCTGTATTTTTGAATATGGATCTTAAGGCCCTGACACATAGCCGCGGGAAGTGGTGTGGGGGGTGCTGGGGGTGCTGCAGTACCCCCTGTTGGCGAGTGGTGTACATTTGAAAAACTGAGTGACCACCTAAATAAAAATGATTAAACTACATAAAATAGTTATGATTTTACTTAAAATAAAATTAGCTGGATCCAGTAGCATATCATGGTCATAGTATATATTTGTATCAGTCAGGTGGCTTGAATTTATTTTCCAAATAAATAAAATCCGAGTCATCTAGGTCGTAGGTCGTGGGATAGTGACGTAATTGACGCGACACACACACTGCAGTGACAACTTTTTAGAATGGCGCAAAAAAGGATTTTGGATTTTTTTCTCCAACAAACAACCCAATAAAAAGAGTGGACCACCAGCTACTCCAACTAGAGTAATATGACACAGAAGAGACTGACACATCTGACTTTGATGCATGTCCATAGTAACATTTTGGACAATGTGTATGTATCTGCTCTAATGAGGGTCTTCATTAGTGCCACCCCAGAGAGGAAGGCTACATTTGGGGTTTTGTGAAGCCCCAACACAAGGTAAGACGATATTTTCCTTTAATGCTGCTGCCGCTGTGCAGTGTTTTGCCTTGTCAATCAGTTAAAATTGAATTCATAGTTTTATTAATATTGTAAATAATATGTTCTGACTATTTGTAATGTTATGTAGGTTTGTAAGACCCATAGTTAGCGTGTGGGCATGTGCAGCTGTTGCTAAGTGATGTAGGTCTATAATGGTTTATTAAGCCTAACAGTTAAGGCGAGACAGGTGAATAGGGTAATTTTTTTTAACTTAAAGATATCAGCTAGACATTTCTCCAGTTAATTACCTACAATAAGGCAATTGTTTATTGTATTCAAGTTTTCTGAATATGCAAATGAAATGAGCCATTATATCATTAAATTTGCGCATATTTTTAACACATTTCAGGAGCCGAAATCTGAACTTTGGATAAAGCCAGGNGACACTTTACAGATATAGTGAAAAGAAAAGAAAGGAACAACAAATAAATATATAGTTAAAGTTAAAGTCAAATAATACAAAAACAATCACACATTAAAAGCCAGATTGAAGAGGTGAGTTTTTTGAAGGTGGTGAGGTCAGTGCAGTCTCTGATGGGTTGTGGGAGTGAGTTCCAGAGGGAGGAGGCAGCGACGGATATATTGATGATATATTCTGGTGTTTATAGAAAGACAAGCTACATTCAATGTTTTTCAAGTACAAAGTTCTTCTGCCATTTAAAGTAGTCTGGATCTTTTTTATCCACTTACTGTAAACAATCCACTGAGGAAAACTGGAATACATGTCATTCAAATCAATAAGTGTTGGAACAACCATTTGCATCGTCCTCATGCTTGATTTATACTTTAACTAGAAGGGTGCTCAGAGAGCCGTTTTCATAATTGAAAAAACTGCGTCTCACCCCCCCAACATTTGGGATATTTATCCAAAAAACTTGGGTCCTTCCGTTGCTCATGCCACACTCTTCCGACAAGTTTAATTATAATCAGGCAGGGGTTTTTTCCGCAATCCTGACAAACAGGCCAACAAACAGAAAATAAACTTGACCTTCTTCCAAAAGGTAATACATATATGTTAATCACATTTCTCAGCTTTAACAAACCAAATGACCAGGTGATATTGTATCTACAAGACCTTATAGATGTTATTTAGCGATTTGAATACCTCTCAAAACTCTTCAGAATTCTAGTTGCTGCGCTTGAGCCAGTTACATTTGTTCACCTGGTACATGTCACATCTAAGCTCATCAAGTGTGGTTCTTCCTCCTCTGAAAACCCCCTCCCCTCCCTGGCGCCCTTCATGTTTAATTCATGTCTTCAATCATTTAGCTCTATGTGCAGGGGAGAGCGCTTGTTTCCTCCGTCATGGTGTCCCTCCAGTGTGGCATTGCTCAGGAGCAGATGGCATCGGTGATAATGATCCACAATGACTGTGTGTGTGTGTGTGTGTGTGTGTTTTTGAAAAGAGAAAGGTGGTTGAATGTTTCCCTCACCTCAGCACTTGCACCATACTCATATTCAAGCCAATCAATCTCAAATACACTTCCTTTGCGCTGTGTACCACCCTCGAGCTCCAGCTCTCTCCAAATAGTTGTTGTTGCATCAGAAATAGGCCCATGTATATTTCACACAACACCAAATCATCATGATGACATTACCATAAAGCAGGACTTGCATCATCTCTGCTATGATTCAGCTTTCTATATCCAAAGGCCGTTTTACATTTTAAAAGAATGATTCATCCTTTACATTTTTAAGTATAATTTAGGTCGCATCCAGTGATGTGTGTCTGCCTTTACAATATTATGTAAAGGTATACACACTTGTTTTATATAAATCAATCCAATTTACTGAATAAAACAATATCTGAGTTGTTTGCACCAAAGCTTAATGCTAATCCATTAGTATACAACATTATTTGATAATAAGCTTCTTAGCTTAAAGTTGCTTACCAAAACTCTCAAGCTACATTTTAGTTGACATCAAATAAACATTATAGCTTCATGTTGGTAGAGTTTAACTTAAAAACTTCTTTTTTTTTTAAATGGACACAAAGGCTGTTTTCCTTGTGAATTGATGAAAGTGCACTGTTTGTAGTTTATTTTATCTTCCTTGATTTGCAATCTATACTGTTGTCATTGTTACAGTGTATGGGGGTTGGGCATACAACTGTAAAGTGATTTA